GACATCCACCTATTCTTACAGAACCATCTCAGAACAGATGTAAAATGCACCTGAAAAAGCTACCGACGATAGGTAGACCATGCAAATGTCCGCCTTATTTCTTGTACATATATACATTCGAACGTTAATACGGATTAACACACACTGGGAAAACCGATGGATAGAGTTGCGTTCAGCAATCGTGCTTAAATGTGACCCCTGGATCCCTCCCCCTCTCCCCCCCACACACAAAGTATAATCTACCAAAAGTAGAACAATCACAATCGATGATACTGTGTCATCATCAATCACCACCACCTTCGTTGAAGAACACCGAACACACAATTAGTCTACCTATAGTCATCTATCGCGCGAGATCTGCTGATGCGTCACTGTCCGAACCTTGCAAATACCAACACTGTTCCAGAGCTTCTCATCTTTGCGGATTCTGTTGCAATTAGAAGATTAGAACTTGACCTCTTTTTGATCTGGTTACATTCCTACTGTCGTGTGATTGTGTCATTCATTAACCGTCAAACGATATAATTTTGTTACCCTTCTTTTACTATAGTAGAATCAGATAAATCTGCCTAAATATAAAAAGTGACCTATAGGGTTATTGTCCTCTGTCTTTCACCAGTGTAATCGGTAGTGGATGTAACTAATGGCCATACGTTTTGTGACAGAGTTCATGCGCTTGTTAAGCAGCGGATTGATGCGATCAAATTTGTACGACGGCAACAATAATCCCTTCATCTTCGCGAATACCAAACGGTCATCATCATCATCATCATCAACAACAACAACAAGGACAACAACAGCAAAACATCATCTTCATACATCGAGATACAGTGAAGCTAACTTTACTGATTACTGCGAAGTTCTGGTTATACAGAGATTAGGTAAGAAAGAACAAGATAAGTGATAAGTTAACCTGTTTCGTTATGAACACAAACTACAAATAGCTAACGATCAATGGGAATACGCATCCACAGGGTTGTAATATATCTTCAGAAACTCATTCTTGTCGGTTCACTTATCTCCTACGCATGTATGTTTCGTGCCATGTGAAATCCTGTGCGAACAAGACTAATTCTCAGGTAACAGTGCACCAAAGCTCGCTGAATGCAACTGTTGCCCAGGAAACGTTCACGTTCGCGGAAGACAAATCTACTAAACATATCCGATGCGCGAGGAAGCGTGATATGGAAATAATCGACCGTGATCGTCATATTTCTCGTGGCAATTTACTTTGCTACAGCTGACCGCTTGAGAGGAATATGGAAACTTAATGAATGCCACCTGCTGTTGTTGTTGTCAACTTATGACAGTTCACCAGAAGATCCTTACCGCTGTGGTTACAGTTAGTCTTCCCCTGAGGATTGTCATACACTATTCGCAGGTTGCTTTGTTCTACGTCTTTCATTGGAGGCTTATATTTGTTCCTCTCGTCGACAAGTCCACTTCCAGCGTGAAGACAGCGACATAATGATGTTATCATGAGTATCTCGTCACCGGCCTCATTAGACATTCGGTCGGGGTGGCTCACTTTCGCCTTAGACGTGAGGCACAAGTGATCAAAAATCTCTTATTGTCTGATACCACAGCTGGATGGACATCACTATTCGGTTAAGAAGCTGACCAGCCAGCCCGCGGAACGGAACTCGGAAGCTGTCAAAGTAAAACGAGCGGAATATGCCGATTGGTTACAGAGATCGGGCAGCGCAACCATGAGGCTGTATATGGACGAGACCACTTACAACGTATGGGGATGTCGCAGCTATGCAAGATCCAAAGTGGGCTGTAAAGCCATTAGAAGCCTCCCATCCAGCAAAGGACCCAATGTGAACATGATAGCATGTTCATCTGTCGGTGGCATCTAGAAATATGAATGTCTTACAAAGATTACTTGGCATGTTTTCAACGGTTTTCTATCAAGCTGCTGTATGTTAAACGCTGCTGAGCAACCGGGTTTCCCAGTAGTTTCTATCTTTGACAATGCGCCCGCTCACTGGAGAGCTTTGGACGTGCAGTTACATGACGAACACCAGATTGGATTTCTTCCACCATACAGCCCCTCTTTTAATCCACCGGAAGAATTATTCAGTAAATTCAAACAGGTGAGCGATTTTAATCCTTTTATTCACTTATATTTTAGTAAGCTTGAAAACTAGTTCACTGGAAACGCTGAAGCCATACGAGATG